GTTGGAAATACCATTGCCACAAAGTTTACAGAACAACAATAACTTATCCTAAAAGAAGAACCCAGCACTAGATCACTGGAATAATGCCTGGCGCGGGAAAATAGAGGGATCGGCAGGCATACGGTAGCACCGACTTCGTAACAGAAAACTGTCGCTAAGGCGTGACTTTTCTCACAGGGCTCAACCCAGCTCCCGAATTTCCATCCACGAATCGGCACAGGCCAAGTCCGCTCTCGTTTGTATTCATGCTCTCTCCTCGCCGATTGTCCTCCCTTTTTATATCTTGTCTCGGAATTTGTCTCTTGGAACTCTCGACAGCACCGAGAAAAATGAAAGTCTGTCTTTAAGATTTTCGGTGACTTTTAATCTTTTTTCTTCACTTTCGAACCTCTTCCTTCATTTTCAAACAAAATTATATACACACTTGATCCTGATGTGCCTTGAATTCCTTGTATTTCAGTTAATCGAGAGCGAGTCGACGTGACCAACTACATACTGACGGGAGGCAACTGTGTGGCATTGGTTTGGGTTACTATTATCTACGGGAAAAACAAGTTGTATTTAAAGAAGTGAGCATGTTTTTCCTGTTCTTTTTTTGGCGCTATCGCAAGATACGGGGCATTTCAGTGGCAACGCTTTTAAAACCACGTAAAACATCTCGTTTTTTTTGTTAACGCGGCTGAGCCTTGGACAGGGGACGAGAAAATCTACAGGCAACTTCTACTTCCCTCGGAGTTCCTGCCCTCCCTAGGCTTCGTCCTAAGGATGCCTTCGCATCCTCTGGCACAAAACCTTTTGCGATAGCGTCGTATTCTTTTACTGAGTTATTATCAGTCACTAATCGAAAGACAAGCAAATCAGTGAATAAAACGTTTCAGGATAGATTTGGGATTATCAAATCGTTATCAGATTCGAGAAAACGTTTCCAGTAGTCGAATGACTATTGTCGTCGGTTTCACGCAACTGCTTTTCTTCACAACTCATCTGGCCATAAATATGAGCCGACGAACCCAGTTTACCACAATGGACACTGTGCTCTATAGGACTCTGGAGAGTATTGGTTATGTAAGTTTTTGAGATGTTCAAGTGTTTTATAGGGACGAATGTGCGACAAAGCCTCTGCCCAATAGAGGAGAATGTGGGAAAGAGGGTGCTCGTGAGAGAACCGGCTGCGATTCGGGAGTTAATGAGGACATGGATGCTACTAGTTGATTTCCGCTCTGGGCAGATTTGCGTCCCACCTTCACGTGGGTTTTATTGGTTGGCCTTCACTTTTGGTACTGTAACTACGGTAGAATAGAGCAATAGGACGGCGAAACCCAAAGAGAGCCCTTAGGGAGAGGGAGGGCGGGGCAATACCACCCTCACAGGGTTATTTAAGAATTCTTAGCCGGTTTCTTGCTCTTTCACAGCTGGTGGACCGATCACCACAAACACCTTCATCTTTGTACACTATGACCCCCACACATTCGTTAGCGAAATGGATCTTAAAAGGAACCGATCACGGTAGAGAAGAGCGAATCGGGAAAATATATCGTACCACGAAGCAGTGACTTAGCTGCCAGGAAGCTATGGCTCCTTCACAACGAATGGTGTGCTGGTTGAGAGTAGTATTCGAAAAGCGCTGCACCCACTAGTTTGGTTAGTGATTTGCAAGAGCTGTGTTGGCAGCAGCGGCACAACTGGAGCAACTAGACTGGAGTATGGAGATACCTGACAGGTGGCCCTTCGCGCGGCAAGAAGGTAGAGTCTGTGGACCAGGGTCAACCGTCCGTTGGACAAAGTCCAACGCATGGCTCTCTAGCGTGTGAGAGTAATGCCGAGAGTGAACGTACGCACGGAGACACAGACGGCTCGCGCAAGGCGAGTGCGAATGCCGGCGCGGAGAGCGGTCAACGTCGGTCCAACGTGACGGTTGACCCCTGCTGTGGACCGTGTCGCAGCGCGTACTGTAGTGATTTCGTGTCAAGTTGAATAAGTGTACGATTGTACGTCCTCCACGCATAGCACGCGCTGCGACTCTCCGCTGGCTCTGCCTTCTTGCCACGTGACGAGCCTCCTGTCGGGTACACAGGATTGCCATGGTGCCACCAAACGCGTTTCGCTAAACCCGTCCATACATTCGCCGTCGTCGCCGCTGGCCGCTCGGCTAGAGAACATCAACGGCCACACAAGGGGGAGCGTTGGTTCTCGACGAATTTCTTTGTTTTTTTCCACTGGGGTACCACTGAGCTCGCTCGCATGCGCCTCCCGTCCCTTTCACCCTTCAGACCCTATTGTAATCGTAGCCTTTAACCAATGCCTAACCGTTATCTGTGAGTTAGCTCTTCTCTAATCGCTTTTTTTCAGCTTCTCACTTACTATTCACTTATACTTCCTATCGTTATGTATGTATATATTAAGCGAGATCTCCATAATAAGATCGCTTCATTTCAAAACAACATAAATCAAAGCTCTTCCAAAGGAGTTGAAGGCAGTAATCTCTATTTTGGCATGTATGAAAAACACTGGTGATACTATGAAACGGAGTAATAAATTTTTTCTGTAACCCATTCGCGACCGCGCGGGATTTTCAAGGTCTGCCCGTTCGGACCAGCGCCGGATTGCGCAATAGCAGGAGAGTCAGGAGATTTTTCTTCAATAAAATTTGAGTGGATGGAGATTTCCTCTGCCCAGGGCTGGCGTAGATGAATGAGGGTATGAAGATTCTTTTCAGGAAAGAAAACTTTCCAAATTCCATTTGAAACCCGGCAGCCACCGGTGGATACCATTGTCCCGAGTGAGATCTTTGGCAGCCACCGGTGGATGCCATTGTCCCAAGTGAGCACCTTCGTGGCAGCCAACGGTGACTGCCATTGTCACGAATAGGGTAATTATGTGACTCAGTAAGAAGCAAATGAGAATTTCTGAGGGTACTGGTTCGTGGCAATAAAAATATCCATTGCACGAGCGTCCCGTGAATCCTATAATCCTTACATTGTAAACGCATCTGGCTACAACACATGGGAAAAGAAGCTTCTTTGAGAAGCGCACATGACTTCTGCAGAACGCAGAAATTATGCGTTCAATTTTCGACTCTTACATTCGGAATTTGAGACATAGTGGGCGCATTTCCAACAACAGGCTTTTTCACCGTTGTTTTTTAGTTTGTGGCTATGGTAAGCTATGGTAGGCTATGGTAAGTACACCACGAAAAGCTGAGTCAAGGCCAACGGTGTCCCGGTAGCGTAAATTGTAGCGCACTTGGGCCCGGAAAGCGAGAGGTGCGGGTTCGAGTCCCGCCTGGGGCGAAAGTTTTGTTCACAACCCAGCATTCTTGTGAAACTATTTCACTGTAACTATTCGCTATTCGCAATCAGAAACCATTGTAAAAGT